GCGTGGCATCGTGATAAATAAATTATTAATTTTATTAACAAAAAAAAAACTTTTGACAAAATTAGATTTTTGAGACATTTTGAAATTTTTGAAAAATTTAATTTTTTTTATATTTTGTTTTTTTTTTTAATTTTGAATATTTTTTTAAGCAATTGCGCTGCATGCTGGTTGGAGTCCAAAATACCTGATAATACGATGTACATATGTCTAATGTTCATTTTTGACCGTCAAATGGCATTATTTGATACTTTTTTTATTGGATCTCCGAAGACACTGGACGTGCCTCTATCAGTTGTTCATTTCGTCAATACAAGTAAAATGTTTTTTGAATTAATTGAATCGGACGCTCCGTTATCTCAAAAACTGAAAAAGCATTTTTGGCACTTTTTGCCTCGTATCTCCGAAACGGCTAGACCTGCCTTTGCCAAAAACTAATCAGCACGCCTCCTTATCAGTAGGAATCGATTTTTTTTTTTTGATTATTCAAGTCGGTTGATTCGTGTTCGCGAAATCGTCGACAAAATTTGTATCCGCACACACACACGCACATCATCATCCATTTTCTAAGGTATGCCAAATTGTTCAGAAACTTCTGAAACGTACAGATATATAATAAAAATTGTCATTTTCGATTTCTTACTTACCCTACGGGAAGTTAAAAAGTAACTTACTTAAATCTTTTTTAAGTAACTTACAAATCTTTACTATACTTATTTTGGTACATACAAAGATTTTTTTTTATATATTTTTAACAGCAATCAGAACCTTACGTCCTATAAGCTGTTGGCTGAAACTTCTCCTTTCTTCGTATTTTTTTTAGATGGTAACCCAATGGTTAATCCATCCATATTTGATGATTTTTATGTTATTAGAATTAATCTAATAGGGCTGACTTTTTATTGTGCAGCAATGCCGGGCAAGGGCTATTTTCAATTGGAAACATATTGCTATCTATATTCCAAGTGAAAATCGTTGTCACTACTGCTGCCTGACAACAGGCTGCTCTAAGTGGGTATCGAACCCGGGACCTCTGAAACAAGTCTCGTCGCTCTTAACCGCTTACCTACGGGCGAGCCCTATACATACAAAGATAGCAACAGAAATTGTGATAAAATTGAAAAAACAAATTTGGCGCAATATATTGGAGCGAATTAGTATAAGTATCGCGGCGCTCATGATCCGTTAAGGGTTGATTATAAATGGAGACATGTCTGTGTCTTTACTTGAATTTTTCGTTTATTGTATTATTATTAGATTCAAAATTAATACATGGGGTATCGTCTATGTGTGTTTGCCAAGTACATACATTAATATAAAACTGAAAAAGCGCATGCGCCCCGTTGGTAATATTCGACCCCCTGAGTTTTCGCTTAGTTGGTGCAAGGCAGCGTTACGTCGCAGACTATATTATCGAATTAATTCTGTACATGCGCCTATGCGAAATCAATGATCACTTATATTTATAGTAAAGAAGTTTGTTTTTTTCTAATCGCGTTTTATATAAAAGTGATTTAATAAAAATAATAATATTTGTGTATGTCGAATATATGTTCATTAGTTGCATTTTATTGTAGTTGCGCAAAAGTGCTTAGTGACACACGCTGTGCTTGATAAGTCTGACTTAGTAATTGAACTTTCCTGTCTGCCGTATTAATAAGTTTTAAGATTTTTATATAGCATTTGGTAAAACTTCACATGAAATTTATTTATTTCTTTTCTTCCAATGCTGCTTAATTTGATTTGCTTGCTATGTTGTTTTTCACTATCAAGTGAATTTATGATTCATGCTTATTACACTTAAGTTTATTCGATTTGTGAGTGATTTTAAAACGTTTGTTACTAATAATTGTTTTTTATACAGTACCTTCAGCACTTTGTTTCCTAACGTATTAAAAATATAGTATTTCCTTGTACACTCAAAGACGATAATGTACATTGTTTTGTGTTTTGCGGTTAATGAGTTTAAAATAATACATACCGTGCAGTTTTTGCTAGATTATTAATCTGAAGAAATCTGTTGGATAAGTCAGTAGTACTCCGCAAACATGTCGAAAGTCATGATGGACTACAGAGTGTAAGTTGATTTTAGATTAATAAAATTTAAATATTGTGTAATTATACATTGTAATTTTATGATGCTTATGTGTTTATCCTATTTTTGGAAGTTTGATTAAACCTCTTTTATCTTTTATTATCAACGCGAATTTCAGGGCTTTTAGTATGTATGATTGTGAGTAAGAGTAGAAAGATTTGAAAAATGACAAGTTGTTTCGTTCCAAATTTTACACAAAAATTGTATACAAAATATTATAGTTAGGAATGTGATGTTGATATTTCTATTAAGAGTTTAATAATCGGACATAACATTATTAAAAACATATGAATTTTTGTAAAAATATATTTTAAAATAGTATTTTTATGATGTTTCTGTATTTATCCTATTTTTGGAAGTTTGATTAATCTTCTTTTATCAACGCAAATTTCAAGGTTTTAGTGTGTATGATTGTGAGTGAGAAGAGAAAAATTTGAAAAATGCCAGGTTGTTTCTTTCCAAATTTTACACAAAAATTGTATACAAATATTGTATAGCTAGGAATGTGATGTTGATATTTCTAATAAGAATTTAATAAGGACATAACATTATTAAAAGCGTGAATTTTTGCAAAAATGTATTTTAAAATAGTATTTTTATAATGTTTCTGTATTTATCCTATTTTTGGAAGTTTAATAATCAAACTTCTTTCATTAACGCGAGTTTCAGGGTTTTTAGTATGTATGATTGTGAGTGAGAGTAGAAAAATGTGAAAAATGGCAGTTTGTTTTGTTACAAATTTTACACACGATTGTATACAAAATATTGCATAGTTAGGAATGTGATGTTGTAAAAATGTATTTTAAAATAGTATTTTTATGAAGTTTCTGTATTTATCCTATTTTTTGGAAGTTTGATTAATCTTCTTTTATCAACGCAAATTTCAAGGTTTTTAGTGTGTATGATTGTGAGTGAGAAGAGAAAAATTTGAAAAATGCCAGGTTTTCTTCCAATTTTACACAAAAATTGTATACAAAATATTGTATAGCTAGGAATGTGATGTTGATATTTCTAATAAGAATTTAATAATAGGACATAACATTATTAAAAAGCGTGAATTTTTGCAAAATGTATTTTAAAATAGTATTTTTATAATGTTTCTGTATTTATCCAATTGTTTGAATTTTGTTCAAACTTATTTCATCAACGCGAGATTCAGGGTTTTTAGTATGTATGATTGTGAGTGAGAGTAGAAAATTTGAAAAATGGCCGGTATTAATTTAATTTAATAACATTATTAAAACATGAAATTTTTTTTAAAATGTATTCTAAAATCCATACGTTTCGATTATAGTCTTAGCCTTTGTTCAATGAAAAAATTGTTTCTAACTAGTTTTACAGATAACACATATATTACACAGTTACTATTTGTGAAATTGTTAGGTTAGTAAAATTGTGAAAAAATTTTTATAAGTACCACAGATTTAATGTTGATATTATACAATTTAGTGCATTAGAGTAATTCATAACATGCATTATTGTTTTTGGGATATGCAAATTTTATA